CCCCAAAACCCCAAAACCCCAAAACCCCAAAACCCCGAATATTCATTGTAGATTGAACTTGCATCTTCTGCATAATATTTAAGAATAAGAAAAATTAACAAAATAATAATAATAATAACTATTAATAAATGGAATCTCAAAGACCAGCCATCAGAAAGACAAAGTCTATGGACTTCAAAATTATGTCTGTAATGAAGAAACTCAATGCATTCACATCTGAAGACCTTGAGAAAGCCACTCCCCTCAAGGTGACCTATATCGCCAACAAGAAAGCCAGAATTGTCAAGTGCAGATGCAGCGAAGGCACTGATGAAGGAAGTCAGTAAATACCAATGACTGAATCTGAGACAAAGCATTAGCTTATAATGCTTTAAACTCAGAGTTTGGATATCAAACGCCATGAGCCCTTACTAATTATAAAAGGCTTATTGAGCTTCACGATACCAACTCCTAATAATAACTTTTACTAATATCTCTCTATAAACACTTCTTGGTATGAACTAGATTAGTTCCTTTTAAAAGCAATGATATATTACCTAACAAGTTTTTGTTCCCCACAAAGTAAATGCATCCTGCTTCTAAACTTTCGCAAGTATCCTTATTACTATATGGCATATTCAATTTGGAGCATACATCATCTTGTGCTTTGATGTGTAAATTATGGAATATATAAGAACCGTAAATTATGCCACCTAAAATTATCTCCCCAAACTCTAATTGCTTATTTCTTGAAGGTTCTTACTATTTATGTGGAATCATTGGAATACTTTCAAATTTTTCATAAATTTAGTCCTAATGTGATTTTTCGATAGTATGCTAATTTTGTTTCCATCATGATTTTTGAAATGAGCTTCCAGATCCTTTAAATAAGCCGATTGAAGGATGACTTCTTATGATTTGCACCATAACACGACATAATATTTCAGGATTATTGAGAAAAAAAAAGCGATAAAAATAGTCCGAGACATGTATAAGTTCCTAGGTTGACAAATATTAGCTCTCTTTCAAAGAGAATATTCGGTTACGAGTAGCTAAGATCTGTATTTTCATAATGAGTAATAATTAAATCAAGTGTTACAAAGGCCGGTAGGGGTCATGATATGCCTTTTGGATCATACCAATCTGCTATATCTCAATCATGCTGCCCTCATTAGAATTCACAAATAAAGCTATAAACCCTGAAATCGGTTCACCAAGTTAATTATTAGTAGAAGAACCTGCATAACTGTAAAAGATTAGGTGAAATAGCCTCAACCGAAAAGGTCAACAACAGTGCTTCTATTAGTACTCAAATTCCTTAAGCTATAATTGTGAAAAGACATAGAGGCAGCTCATATTTAAGCCAAACCGAATTCGAGTTACTTTTTGCTTGACTCTAAAGTAAATTAAAAATTTAGTATAGCTTATTCTAGATTACTTTGGCTTATTTTAAGATTTGCTAGTATACCCTCGGAACTAATACATGGAAATATTAGTAGGCTTGAGAATATTTGATTCAGTACCTAAAAGTAGCATTATGGGATGGCAGGTATCAATCTTTTCACAAGTTCTCTACCAAGAAATATCCCAAATTCTCTACTATACTGGCCTCGTTCGACTCGGAAATTTCTAGATTCCAGAATTTGAAGAGGATTTTCTTAGGGTTTGGGAAGAAGGTAAGGGACTGGTGGTTGAGGGTTGTTGGGAAGAGATGGATGGTTATTGGGAAGGGGAGTTTTGGGGTGTTTGAGGGGTGGTTGGGGGAGAGAGGGGTGGAGAGGGTGGAGGAATGGGGTTTTGGGGTAGATTGGGAAGATGGATTATTTGGTGCTAGAAAAATAGTTTTTATACGAGAGGAGGATTGATAAGGGGTTTAGAAGGGAAAAGAACAAGAGGATAAGATTTATTTAATAACTCTTTTTATCTCACTTCTCTATCCTCCCCTCATCGGCCGATATGGAGAACTCACTCGCTATCTTACATTTCCTTTCTCCACATATCCTAAGTTCCACCACTAATCTCCCCATATTCTCAATCATCAGAGCTACTAAAACCCTCCAAACTCCCATCTCTCCCAATCACAAAAAAAATCTACTTTCCTTACCTCCTCCCCTCCCACACCTCCTCCAAACCCATTTCTCACCCACAAAACTTCCCACCCCTAAAATCTCTTCCCAAAGTCCTCTTCTTACCCAAAATTCTCTCTGATCTACCCAAAGACCTAATTAGTTATTAATTGACAATGTATTAGATTTTGAATTAAACAGGAGTAATTTTTAAGAAGATAAAAAGGCTGGAAAAGGAGGTCTTCAAGAGAAATAGGCTAATTTTGGATTGAGGTGATAGGTGGAGCGGGATGGGCTTCTAAAGGCCTAGGTGATGAGATTGAGTGAGAAAGAGAATCAGAGGCTTGGTGAGGGAGAAGGATGATGGGTTTGGACGGGTAGAGAATATGATGGTTTATTTTTTCTGATTGGAATAAGAAAAATTCGGTAAAATACTTTTAGAATGTATTAAAATAATCCTTGGCAGAGGTGAAATTTAGAAAGAGTCTTTGGGATTCGAAAATTATTAGTAAGAGCAGGTTAATCAAACACAAGAAGAAAATTACCAAACATAATCAATTAGTAAACTCATTGTGCTAAATTAAAAATAGGTTCACCAATCTATATTTACGACATTTCAAGTTGTAATCAAGTTCGACACAAAAGTGTTCACATAAATAATTAAAACCACTCTAAATTAACTTTCCAAAATCCCACCATTAACTCCCCAAAACCTCAAATTCTATCTAAACACCTCAAAATCCCTCTTCTCCAAGCCCAAAGCTATACTTCCCTGCTGCCTGCTCCAATCTGACTCTAAGCTTAAAAAATTTAACTCTGAAGAGAAATATAGACTTTTAAGGTACAAATTCTGCCTTAAGAAAGCCAAAAAAGGCTGAGTTTCAGCAGTGAAGAGGAGTGAGAGGGAATGTTCTGTTGAGGCCTGGAAGGGGGATTTGGGGACTGGGTTGAAGAGAGGGCATTGGATTTAGGGAAGGAAATTAGGATTTGGATTCAACCGTTGTCAAGAAGTTAGGGGTTTTGGGGTTTTGGGGTTTTGGGG